TGATGCAGATTCATTTTCTCTTAGAGAACCCCTAAACATCTCACCGCAACCTTGCTTGATGTGACTCTTGAGAAGCAGAATTGCATTAAAATGGAGCAAATCTCCAAGTAAAGGGGGAAAGCAAGTTTCACAAGTGGCATTCCATGTTAATTGTGTCCTCTCCACTCTCCAACACACCTCATCTTCCACCCCTTCGTGTAATACCCCATCCCCACCACCCCACAAATCCACACTGTTACCCCCACCCCACCTCTCATAGTATTTTTCTAGATTATATATAAATGCATTAACAATATCTTTTGTTTACATACCAAACACAAGAAAATAAATAAGAAATCCACTTATTTTCCTAAAAAACATTTTCCATGGGAACACTTCCCTTCATACCGAACACACCTTTAATCTAATGTTGTTAAGATCTTCTATCTATTAGAAAGGAAGGTTGATTTATTAAGTTGGTTTTGCTTCTACCATGAACTCTTATTCACTTTCCCCACTTGTGGGATTACACTAGTTTGTTGTTATGAACTCTTATTCACACTATATTCAATTATACTATGCTACACAGTAGATAAAGTTATAATAATCTCAATGCACATAGAAATATAAACAAAAGATTCTAACCTGTAAAGTTTCCTGAAACAAATGCACGCGAAGCATCTCTGAAATTTGAAAATTATAAAAAAATCATTGTTAGTTGGAAAATGGTGAGTAGCTAAAAGTTCTCCAAGGAGATTAGCTTTATATTACACTGAGCAGCAAAACAATAAAACTGATTGTCTTCTATGAGAAAGTAAAAAAAAATCTCATACATTAATTATAAAACATGAGACTAATAACCACTCTTGAGATTCAAAAGTAATAGAACCAAAGATTACATTGACTCTTCAATAGGGATTACACATTGTGAAGCATAAATACAACAAAAGCAAAGAATTGAACCTTCCGGCGAAATGGTTGTAACCACCTCCAACTCCATAATGACTCTTCCCTTTGCTCACATCAAATACAGACCTATTAATAGCATTCAAACAAAACTAGACAATCAAATAAATGTTAAAAAAAAAAAAATCCAATCTTGAAATGAGATTATAACAGATTTGACATGTACCCAATAATTCCAAGAAAAATGGGCAATCTTGGATCAGACCCATTATAAAGAGCAAGTTCTTCAACAGTGAAAAGTCTAGGAAAATTCTATTAGAAGCACACCAAAAATAAATAGAATTTATTAAAGTGATGTTAAAGATTAGATACAAATTAATCAATATAACAAACAAAGAACATAAAAGATATGGAGTTAAAAAGACATACTTGTGGAGCAGAGTTGAGAGATTTGAGAGGGAAATTTTTGTAAAAGAGAAACGAGAGAAGAGCCACTATAAGTGGAATCCCTAAAAATGGAGACCACCCCATTTTTTCACCCTTCTTCAAAAACTGTGTCTTGGAAAATTACTCCATTATTTATTGTTGAAAAAAAAAACATTCCTTTTTAAAAGAGAACTGGAAATTATACACTTGAGTTTTCAGTGAGAATTCAAAGTTGACTTTTCACAACTGGGACTTTGAAATGCTAATGAGCTGTTTGGCTATAATTAGTACTTCCTATGTCCAAATTTATGTGACATATTTTGAATTTTGAGATTTAAATAATTTTATTATATATATTTTAAATATTTTGAACGGTTAATTATTGTGACTTATAGTACTTTTTACGTTGTTCACGGATATATAAAATTTATTTTTTAAAAATTGAAGATTTCATTAGCAAATTCTCAGTCAAACTTAAATTGTTTGACTTTCGAAAAACAAAATATATCACATAGATTGGAACAAAGAGTATATATTTTTTGGAATACTTTTTATTTTATTTTGGGTATTATTCATGAAAATTTCAAATCCAACTCAAATTTGAAAATGAGTACCTTGTAATATATTTTCTAAAAGCCTATTCGGATGGATTTATAGATTATGATTTTTTATTTATTTTTGTTATTTTGGCTTAAGAATAAGTAATTAAAAATATTCTTTATTTTATCCGAACATTACAAAGCTATTTTAAAACTATTTTGTTTAAAAGGTACTTAAAATAAATCAACTCAAACAAGCTTCAACTCACTTTTCACTTTTAAAATTGTATTAGAAACATTATTTTAATATTTGGAATATATAGCCAAAATAGTTTCTCATCTCTCGTGTATATTAGATATTGGAGTCAGTGCTAGCATGAGCTCAATATATGTCTTTATCTCAATTTATGTTATATAAATAAATGAAATTTGAGAGCCAAACAATTTTTTTAAAATAATTTAAGTTATTGATTATTGTGATTTATAGTATTTTTATATAATTTTTAAAGGGAAAAGACATAAAATCCCCCTGAACTTGGCACGAAAACTTACTTTAATACTTAAACTACACAGGTGTTTATATATCCCCATTAACATCTTTTAAGTGATTAAAACACCCCCTAAGGGATGATGTGGCAGAGAGTGAGTGCACTTTCCTAAAAGTGCGTGAAAAAAGAGAAAAAAAAAAGCTGAATGTTTAAAACCCTACACATGGCCTTTTTTTTATTGGCCAATATATAACAAATTATTTAAATAGTTTTTTTTTATATATATTGAATCCTTAAAATATGTAAATTTTCTTATTAAGAGGTAAATGAAATTAGTGGGTCCCCTTTTTAGTTTCTTTAATTTTTTTATTTATTTATTTTGTTGTCTTCTTCAATACACATTTTTCTCCATTGAAACATCTCTTCCTCCATCTTTTTTCCCACCTCTATCCACTATTTTCATTTCACTAATCTTTTACTAATTCGTAAAATTCAATAGCAATGCCATTTTATTGACGTCGATTTCACTCTATTATTTGTATCGATTTGGCAAATGTAAACTTTCTTAAATTTTGAGCGACCCATTTTGATTTCTAGATCATTCAAACATTTCTCATAAAATTTATATTTTTTTTGGATCAACTTTCTTATGCAATCTTCATTTCTTATTTGAGTTGTCAAGAAAAATTTGGCTTTCAAAAAAATTCATTCTCCAAGAGGGTAAATTCATTAGGAGGGTTCGAAGATAATGTGAATTTCTTCTTTAAAGTGACTTAAAAAATTGTTGAATAGTGAAGAAGAAGAAAAGAAAGTATTGAAGGTTGGAATAATGGTGAACAACAACAAAGAAGAAAGAGAGGGGGTGGGGGTGGGGGGTGAGGGTGGGGGTATGCATTTATAAATTAATCAATTGATATAATTAATTTTAAAAAGTGTTTAAGAAAAAACAGTGAATAAGTAAAAAAGAAATAAAGATTAATGACATGGTGCCTACATGGTTATGATGTGGCGCTTACGTGGCTATGATATGGCAGGTGAGAGTGGTGTTATAGTCTCAGGGTGGAAAAAAAATCACTTCAAAGATCTTAAGGGGGTATTGAAACGCCCGTGTAGTTTAAGTACTAAAGTAAGTTATCCGACCAAGTTCAGGGTTTTTTTTTTTATGTATTTTCTCATTTTTAAATAATAGATGTAACTCTTTCTATCTCAATTTATATGGCATTGATTGAATTTCAAGATTCAACCAAATTTCAAATGTCATTTAAATGTTTTTAGTAATCAATTATTGTGATTTATAATATTTTTTATGTCATTTTCAAATAAAATATGTCACTCTTTCTATCTCAATTTATGTGACACTGATAGACAAGCACTACAAAAAAATTGTGAATTACATGGGGATTTTTCTGGGGATTAGTATGAAAATTCGCAGAAAACTTATTTTCCTGCAAATTTTCATACTAATTCCCAGGAAAATCCCCATATAATTCATAGTTTTCTTGTAGTGTATAAGAGTCAATCAAAAAATTTCAAGTTTTTAAAATTTTTAAATTGTTAACTATTGTTATTTGCAATACTCTTAGTCATTTCAAATAAAATATGTTACTTTATTTGTCTTAATTTATATGGCACGGATATAATTTAAAAGTCAATCAATTTTGGCTTTGACTATATAATTTTTATATTATTAATTATTATGATTTATAACAATTTTGACAAAACTTCTAAATATATAAATTGTTAAAGATTCTTTTCAAATACTTAAGTGATTAAAATGCCCCTTAATAATGATGTAATTCCAAGAAACACACATGTGACACGTCCTCGCCGATATGTGTGCTCTAGACTCTTATAATATAATATAATATAATTTCTTACTCGTCATGAAACGAAATGTTTTTAAAATGAATATTTTCTAGTTTGAGCCAAAAAGAAAAAAGAGTAAAAGAAAATTTATGAAAAATTGTAAATCTTGAAAAATATTGGAATGCATTTGAATATATACAATTATCATATAATTATAATTATAATTAATTAATGTATATATTCACTTTATTAAATTATTTAAACATGATAAATGGCATTAAATTTGGTAAACATCCCATGTAAGTAAATATTTACCATAAATCTTTATTTAGATGTGAGTTGTCATATTTTCTATTTTATGTGTTCGTCTTAGATGTCTTCAAAATTAAAACATCGGATGATATTGAATTTCCAAGCAATTTTATATTACTTACTTTTATTAAGATGGAAATTGGCTTCACAAAGATGGTCATGGTATCATGTTTAAAAAACACTAATCTTCAAATTATTATATTTTGAGGAGAGTAGTCAAATTGATTCATTTAGAAAAGAACATACGAAGAAGGGCTTGAATTTTGTATCTGTGCACTAACGATGTATAATATATTTAAGTCACCCTGAAAATAGTTAGAAATAACATTTGTTATATTGACGCAATAAAAATTACAACTAACGTGCTATTACATATTAAATGTTAGTAGTATAAAAATGAGATTTTACTTTTAGTACTAAAGATGTAAATAAAAATATTGCAATGACACGTAAAACGAGGTGGGAGATAAATAATTTATATATCTTGCAACGTCTTTGATCATAGTTAAACTAACATCATAGGCAAAAAAAATAATCAAATTCATTAATCAATTGATATACTATAAAGACTCGATGGTTGAAGTTGTTTAGTCACATTAAAAAATCTTAGAACATTTATCCATTGCTCCCACTTTTTTAGTCGATGAACCGCTATTGTATTTGGAATAAGTTCATGTGAACATTTTCCATTAGTTCCAGGATAATCATACATTTTTGGCTTGTTCGAAAATCTATTTTTTGCTTTATTTCCCAAATTAAGCCATTGACCAACCAATTTATCTTCTGGTCCATATGTATTATTCGCAGGAATATTCGATCTTCTTATCCATTCCACCAGATCCCATGATAAAACAAATCCCATTCCGGACATATAATGGACAAATGGATTCATGCTAGGACAAGGTATAACAAAGCCATAATATAGATCAACTCTAGGTAAGGGTTGAAGTGATGATGCTAATGGTGCAAGCCTCAAATAAACATCATCATCAGCCTTCATGACATAGTCATAACGTGTGGGAAGTATTTGAGGAAGAGTAGAAAAGTAAGTATAAGTTTTACCACTATTCATGTTCTCTGAGCAATTGAGGACAATAATGTCATTAAAACGCATGATTTCTAAAGCGACAAAAGTTCTTTGTTCTGAATTGGTGATATTACAGAAAATGAACTTTACATCGATACGAGCGATGGGGGTGGATTGAATTCCATATACAAGACGAAGGAAATGTCGTCTATCGAAATTTCCCGGCCGTGTGAAAATTCCTATTAAAAGGGTGAACTGTGTGTTTATCTGAGGCGCTTGTTGTAGTAAAATGGTATTGGTTAAGGAAGTTGTTAACGAAAAATTTAAGCGAATACTAAATGATATAAAGAAGATGAAGATAAGTATAGCAAAAGAAGATAAAGAAACTAGAAGTAGTTTCCTCCTTGGCATCATAGTTAGAGATGCCCTAGAAGGTGTAACATTGAAAGTTTAGAAAGAAAGAAAAAATATGCCAAGCTTGAATACTTTGAATATAGATTATATGTCCTAAGTTTCTAAAATACACACATCTTTTAAAAGGTAAATGACTTGTCCTTATATGACATGGTTAATGGTATGAAGAAAGTAAAAACATTGTGATCTTGTCATGCTTTGTATGCAATGAGTAATTAAACTTGTGAAGTACATGAGATATGGTGCTAAAAATGTGAACAATTTACAAGTTTTAGATTTTATGAGAACTTTAATTTCACTTGAATCCAAAACAAACAAAATAAACTCAAAAGTATGTTGCCACAAAAATTATAGTCTAGTAGTATTATGCTTCATAGTTAAAATGGCATAACTTTGGAGGTGTTTGGATTGATTTTTTTAGATAACTTATAAGTTAAAAGCTACCTGTTATAAGTTGGTCGTACTTAACTTTTGACTTTTAGCTTATTTTCGTACTTTTTACCTTAAAAGTAAATGCTTAAAACCACATTTTATTATTTTTTTAAACACTTTCAAAAAATGAAAAATGGCTTAAAAACCAAAAACTTACTTATAATTATGGCATTCAGTAATTAATCCACTGCACCATCTAATTATCAATTCTTATAAAAAACGGTCATTCAAATACTTTTCAATTACAAACGAAGTGCAATTTACTCTTCTAAGCCGTGAATTACGAATTTCTCAACCATGGATTATATTACATATTACATAATATACTCTAAAGTTTTGTCATTCCGCGTAATTTTTCCTTTCTTCATTCGTCAAAATCGATTACTTTCCTTTTTCTTTATCTTCATCTTCTGCACGTAAATAAAATTATTTTTGTCATCAATTATTACTTTGTTTCGCCTCTCTCTTTCATCTTTTGCCAGGTACAATTTTTTTTTACCTTGGTCTTTGATTTCATCTTCTTCAGTTGTTTTCATCATCTATTTGCTACTAAGTACTAATAATGGTTACATATATATATATAATATTTTTTTGTTGATTTTTTTTTGTTTATTGCCCATACAATTACGTAAGAAAGAGAAAGGGAATTTAGAGAAATCTCGCTAGCTAGTTTAGGAGTTAATTATTTAAATGCGCTCTAATTTATAATATTATGAATCTTATTAAATTTTGATGCGTTCAACTTCAGATACGTCCAGATACACGTGACTTAGGAAATATTGGGTCAAAATTATGTGTAATTTGTTTTAGATACATTGTATCCAAATTGGTTCACATGTATCTGAGATACATAAATCTTGCTTGTCTCCCTCGCGTTTCGCTCGCCACTCTCCTATGTATATGGTATCTTAGATACATGCAAATCACACCAGATACATGCATGTACACGTATCTAGTATGATTCACATGTATCTGATATATATGACTATCTCCCTCCCTATCTCAATCGCCTCCCCTGTTTTAGTGTATTTGATAGCAAAAATAAATGTATCTAGTTGTATCTTTCTCAATATATGATAGAAAACTGTTAATTAGTGGAAAAATACATAATTATTTGAATGTATAGATATAATTAGTATATATGCTATAAATGTATGTCTAATAAGGTAGTTTTCCCAAAAAAGAAGAAGGGGAAACTACATAATTAGACATACTCCACTACCATATATATTATTATTATCTACACTTTCAAAAAATTATGTATCTTATCACTAATTAAGAGTTTCCTACTATATATTGAGGAAGACACACCTAGATACACATATTCTTGCTACCAGATACACTAAAATAGGAAGAGAGGCGAGTGAAATGGGAAGACGAATTAACAAGATAGTCATGTATCCTAAATGTGCATCATGCTAGATACACACTAGCTTGATACATGTAAATAATGTCATTCGCATGTACCTGGAATATCAGATACACATGAAAGGGATGAGCGGGATGGGAGGGAGACGAGTGAGATTTGTTATGTATCTCATAAATATGCAAATTCACTTGAATACACTATATCTAGAATAAATTACATCTAATTTGACCCCATGTATCTCGAAATACATATTATCAGGATGCACCAATATATAGTAAAATTTGTAATATTATAAATTAGAATGTATCTAAATAATTACCTCATCATAAACTAGTGAAATTTACGTAAGTTTTCTCAAACAAAAAATTGTTCGTAATTGGGCTCATCTCCAAATGGCCCAACCCAATAGAAAAGCAAAGTCTTTCTTGGTCTCTCGCTGCATCTTTGTCGTCGTCGTTTTCTTTCTTCTCAGAAGAAGTTTCAGAGATCGGATTCTCCTCCTCTTTCCCCTGAGCTCCATCAGCCTGCTCTTCCATTTCCCTCTCTCGCTCACTCTCTCTCCTTCAAGGTACTTTCTCTCTCTACAATTTACTACTCCTTGAATCATTCGATTTGCTTCAAATCATCTAATTTTCCTCCTCAGAGATGTAGTATTTTTTTTCTTAGCTTTGATCATTTAGACATAGTAGCTTATAAATTGATTGGTTGGTTGTTTGCAGTTGTAGAAAATAGAGAAAGATGGGTGTGAAGCAAGTTCTAAGAGCCATGGATGCTTTTCCACGCGCGGAAGAGCATTTGTTACAAAAGACTAAATCTGGGGCCTTTGGTATTATTATCTCTTAACTACATGTCTTCTCTTCATGTGGGTAGCTAGGATGGATGATCATGACTAATTTTTTTTTTTTTTTTTTGTATATACTGGAACAAAGAAAAAGTTGTCTTAATGTTTCAAAAGAAGCAGTAATTAGAACTGTTGGCTGTGAATTGAATATCCTAAACTGTGTCTACATTTAAATATTTGCATACACCATAAGTTGTGCTACTTCATGTTTGTGCATATTTGTTTTTAGCTAGTGTCCGTCTAGATAGTTGATCTTAGACTATGTTTATCTATGCTGTGAATTTTGGAGATACATTTTTGGTTCATGAAAGTTATTGATGCTACATCTGTTTGTTCATTGGTTGTTTGATTCTATAAGATTTTCCTGTCCTTTTGTCAAAGTTGCTCCCTACGCCCGGTCAAATCCAATCCAATTTATCGTATTCGATTAGTTAACATGTTGTTTAACCGTATTTTGAAACAGACCAAGCCAATCTCGATTTAAAAAAGAAAACTTATTGCAACTACGAACGTGGACAAATTCTTTCTCATTAGACTATTTTAACCTATTGATGCAAAGGGCCTGGTACTGAATTGCAACTGTTGCTAGTTACTTCTGTTGGCGTTACTTTAGAATTGTCCAGTTAGAAGATATATGCTTACTATATTCTGCATCTTTTCTTTAGGTTTGATTCTTGACTAACTTTACACCTTTGGTTTTTACTCACTAGTTTCCATTGTGGGGCTGGTTATCATGTCAACATTATTTCTGCATGAACTGAGTTACTATCTTAATACGATTACAGTTCACCAGGTTTTTTTCTTCTCTTCAATTTTGCTTCTCTTATTGTTTACTTTATTCTGTCCCACTTAAGTGTAATTTAAAGGTTTCTGATCTGAATTATGTTTTCGCAGATGGCTGTTGACTTGAGACGTGGAGAGACTCTTCCCATACACATCAATATGACATTCCCCTCTTTACCTTGTGATGGTAAGATAAATAACCCCCCTTCTGGTCTATGTTTGCTTACGCTCTTTTAGATTTCATTTTCTTTGTGAATACCTAGTATCTAAATGCTTCAGAGTTCAGACATTGACCAATTTGTTCTACCTTGGTAGTTCTAAGTGTGGATGCTATTGATATGTCGGGGAAGCATGAAGTAGACCTTGATACAAACATATGGAAGGTAATTGGTCTATTTGATTTGAGAAATTAGTGTTCTGCCCTACCTATCATAAAAAGAAGTGCTCTACCCATCAAACTGAAAAGAAAGTGACCATGTTTCGCATGACAAGATGATGCATAAATCTGTAGATTTTAGTATGTTAACCATGCTTTCACTTTTGTAGTGTCTTCACTAGCAACTATTTGTACCTTTATTAGATTTAATCTGGTAACAATATCATTCTTAGTTCTTGATAAAAAGAATATCTTTCTTAGTTTTTCTCTTCCTCTTTTGTGTTTGTTTTGTGTGCGTGTGTGGTGGTTGGGGGGGGGGGGGGGGAGAGGGGTAAGATGCAGCATTAGTGGGGTATGACAGAAAAAAACAGTTATTCTGTTTTCACTTAGTATTTCATGCTTATATTTTTCTGAGTTTGACGTTTTTATGTTGGCTAGTTGCTTTAATTACATATTAGCATCTGAAGAGAACCGAACTATTAAAAAAATTTCGAGTGTTCATGGTTACAAGTTATACTTAAACTGTTGGCAATGCAATGGTTAGAATTAAGGCTTAGAGTTGTTCTTTTTGTCAAGCTGTTTTTGTTTATGTTAGATTCACTGTCTTTCTGGCTAGAGACTAGTATGTTTCTGCAGGGATAGGGGTGAAATTTTGAAAATCTCTAGTTTTAGTGAACTACAAAATTTGTATTAAAAGATAAAAACTTTTAGTAATTAGTATTGGAATAAATGGACTTAAATAAAGTGTAATAGGCACAGAGGATTCATATAGCCCATCCGATTTTAGTAAATCAATGAATTGGTTCTGAGTGTGGTGTTTTGAGCAAAGGAAGGGGTTAAGTTGAAAGCATGTGGATTGATAAAGATGATTTCATTGAACTTGTGGAGTGAAGGTGGAACTCAAACAAGGTGAGTTGTGATCTAGATACTATTGTTGCCAGGAAGTTAAATGATATTAAGAAATGGAACAATAAGGTGTATCGTTGGCTGGAAGAAAGGAAAGAAAAAGGCTTTGAACAGGCTGGAAGAATTGGGTCATTTTAATGGAGCCATAGTTGATGAGAATGCAATAATAGTTGAGAAGGAAACAATCACCTCAGTGCGAGAGGAAATTGCAAGGAAAAAAGAGATATCCTGAAGGCAGAAGTCAAGGTGTCTATTGGTAACAGTTGGAGACAAATACACAAAATGAAGAAAAA